AGATGGGTAAGTATCCATGTGTGTATCTGGTATTCCTTTTTGAATTATAAATATGTTTATATATATATATATATATATATATAATACATATATATATATGTATATATATATATATATATTATCAGTTGATGAGTGTACTGTATATATAAAGTGATAGTAATCTGTCAGGACGACGGGTAAGTATCCAGAGGTGATCCGTTTGTCGATGTGTAACTAGTCACTTGTCGTATCACAACCTTCACTTATATAGCTTGTAACGGCATTGTAGACTTTGGTTGATCAAAATTCAACTATACACGCCTACTTTATGGTTGTACGGTTTTGGGGTTTTTAGGGTTTTATTGATTTGTCTGTGGCTGTGTATTTACCCACAGAAACCTCCGCCGGCGATGTGGCCCAGATCAGTTGGCAAGTGGAGGTGGTGCTGTCCAAGTAAGTGTTCTAAAAATAGAACATAGTTTGTATAGACGTTAAACTGTTCGTGGACCCAAGTAAGTGATTTAAATTTAGAACGTATTATATATATATATATATATATACGGTTTCCTTTTCTTTCCTTTTTCATGGTTTATATTTATTTTAAGTTTATTTGAACCAAGTAAGTGATCTTAATTCGTATTAGTTTTAATACGTGTTTTATCTATACGTGTCACTCTTCGTGACGTAAGCAAGCGGTCTAATACATTTTTCTATATACGTTCAAATGTACTCAAAGAGTGAATGTGAACTTATCTTTACTCAAATATAACAACTCATGCAAAATAAAAGTTTGCATGTCAAATATACGTTCATCTGTGTTCAGAATATATGTGAACTCAAATATATGCGTTGGAAATACATACATTATATGCAAGTTATATACGTATTGCTTTCTTGGGAGTTACGGGTTGGGTGGTGCCTGCCTTCGTCCGTGCGTGTGATGTGGTCCCGTCACAGTTCTCTGTACATCAACGAACTATAATTAATCATAAAATCACATACTTTTATTATATTATTTTAGATTACTTACTAAACGTTATATTACGAGTAATGGTAGGATGTTTAAAGTATACGCGTTGCACTATATTTAAAGTTATATTTAACATTTTAAAACGATATCCGTTTTAAAGTTATATTTAAAATCTTAAAATGATATCCGTTTGACTACAGTCAAAGTTGTATCTACTATGTACGTCCTCGTATCTTCACTCCTCCGACCTACTGACCGTCCACTGAGCCTGTGCAGGATGTGGCCTGGCCATGTGCCGTTTGATCCCACATACGAATTGCGTGACTCTGCACTGTTTCTCCTTATAAACAGAACACACTCGCACACCTACGTGCCTTTTCCTTTTACACCGCTACATACGAACCAAACCCTAACCTCCCAAAGTCCAAACCCCAACCCCTAAACCCTAAAACCCTACAACCCTACAACACCCATGCTAACCCTACCCTACCCTACCCTAACCCCGTCTCTCTCCCCCAGCGCGCTCATGGCCGTCAACCGCGGCCGCGCCGGCGGTGGTCATGTGACCTTCGACTCGTCCTGCAACGTGCTGTTCCTGCGTTATCCCGATCGTAGCGACGCGTCCTTCGCGCGATTCCGCGGCGACTGGGAACGGTTTGTCATGGCGTCTGTGCTGTGTCTGCAGTACACGCAGGCTATGAAGACGTACGACAGCATGCACCGACTCAGAGCCGTGTTCCATGTGGGGACCTTTGATTACACCAGTGTGCGTGTGCGGTATGCGAGTATGGTGGATCTGCCCACAGCCTCAGCCGGTTCTGTTGCTGCGGCTGCTGCTGCCAGTGTGGGGGGTGTAGGTGGTGTTGGTGCTGGGACTAAAGAGGGTGCTGTGGTTGCCACGGGGACGGGGCCGGGTATGTGTAGCTACCTACCTACCTGTTGTGTTGTTAATATGTAGCTACCTACTTACCTGTTGTGTTGTATATGTGTAGCTACCTACTTACCTGTTATGTTGTTTATGTGTAGCTACCTACCTACCTACCTGTTGTGTTGTTTGCAGGCATAGCCCACCCTACTTGTGTGGACAGGTAGTAAGAAGTCGCACTGGATTTACACAGCTTGCTTGCGTTCGTGCTTGGCATGTGTTCATTTGTTTGTCGATGTAGACTCTGCTTCTCCTATGGCAGTAATAGGAGCAGCTTGTTTGCGTTGGCCATGTGTTATGTTGTTAGTAGACATCGACCCCACTTCTTCGATACAAAGTAGTAGTAAGCCCAAATGAATGTACACAGCCTGTTTGCGCTTTTGCCTGTGCATGTGGTATGCGATGCGTTGTGTGCCGTGTGTGTGCATGTCCTTCTCACTGTCGGGCGCTGATGAGATCGACACTTATCTTCCGGGGTGTGCTCCTTACCATAGAACAACTGTACTATCCCTAAACCCCTAAACTGCACTATCCCTAAACCCCTAAACTGTACCCTCTAATGCTCGGAAAGGTTACACACGCAACATGTTCAGAGACCCTAAAACCCTAAAACTCTAAGATGTACCCTCTAATGCTCAGTGAGGCTACGCGCTCCACATGATCCCACAACTCATGTTTTAAGGTTTAGATATCACAACCTTCATCACACAAACATGCTAACGGACACACGACACATATTCTGTTGCATCGTACCTCCACTAACAGACTCTCCTCGAGATCGTGCGGCAACGCTCACGCTGGTAGTACAGTGGATTCCCCAGACAAAGAAGTACCTGGTTGTGTTTGGGGGTGAGACGGTCAATCCGCATGCGGCGGTGACCCCGTTTATGCAGCAACGGCTCAATGTGACCAGCGATTTGCTGCTTTTGTTGGACAGTATATGCACCTCACGCGCCATGTTTAGGGCCGTTTGGACAATTTCGTACCCGCGCACGTACTGGATGGGATACGCCGCCGCGACGGATTCGGTATGGGCTGCTGTTGTCACAAGACTG